TTTTCTTGACTTCACTCTGGTCTCTCTTAGTTGGGGAGCTCTGGAAGTATGAGGCTTGTCTGCTTCACTCACTACAGAAACCGCAGATCCAGATTAGTGCCTGGCAGGTACCAAATGCTTGGTAAATGTCCTCTAAGTGAAGTACTAGGTACTTAGTAAATGTCATGAGTGGGGTACTAGGTGCTTAGTGGAGTCTTTAGTGGAAGAGGAAACTGCAGTGGGATGGGTTAGGACTATGGATGTACAAACCTGTACCAACCACCTCTATATGCCCCATGCCCTGAATTTCTCAAACTCTACAGGAGCACACACTTCATCAGCCATCAACCCCTGCTTGGTTGGATCCTCTTGCCTTCTCCCTCTAGGAGGGAGGAAATTACTGACATCGAGGGAGGCATGGAGCCTATGGGAGCGGGAACCTGTGGAAGCCACCTTTACCAGGGCCAGGCTCTAGCTTATGTCAACCTGACCATCCCTAGTCTCCGGAGGCTCCTTAGGTACAGCAGGGGTGCCAGCCCTCTGAACATGAGATCCTTCTGTCCACAGTGCTGGGCTACCCAGGAAATGGGCTGCTGGGAGCACTTTTGTGTGCTTCCAGGCATTCTGGGCAGGTTAGCGCTGCCGACAGATGGCCTGGCTTCCAGCCTTGGCTCACCCCTTAGTCCTGGGGAAGGAAAGATATGGGGTTCACTATGACCTTGGTTCCCTGTCCACACACGGGGCTTCCACAGAAGGTGCTGGATGGAGTACGTCAGGGGTGGCTCCCATTCTTCATGGGTCAACTGTGCCTCTTCTGAATCTTCAGGATTCCTGGTCCTTCTACACTGGTTGTTACGTTTTTTTGTTTTGTTTTGTTTTGTTTTTTTGCTTTTTGCCCTCCTGAGACCCTGAGCCAGTGACCCCTTCATGTTCTGCTGTCTGTAGCACAAGGAACAGGTGGATCTGTAAGCAGCACTGCCCTTAAGGGACCACAGGGATTGGGAGGATGTGGACACCTTGAATAGGTGTGACACAGCCAGATAGCACCCAAGGAAGCCTGTCTCAGTTCTCTTTCCCTGTGGCAGGCAGAATGGCAGGCTGGCCTCTTCTTCCCCCAGAGCCCCCACTTTCTAGATGTGTTTAACAGGAGCAATGCAGTGGCCCCTGGCCAGAAACTGCTGCCCCCTGCTTAGTGAGGGAGGAGAAGGAAGCCCCTCAAGCCTACAGCAATAAAGGGTTTATCTCACTGTCCTCTATTGCCATCTCAGCCTTCCTTCCCGCCAGACTTAATTTCCGCCTGTCACTTGAGGGGCCTGGATGGGTTCACAGCTTGTTTGTGTCACAGTGGGCTCAGCCCTGGATTGTGAGAAGAAGGGGGGAAGGGACAGGCATAGCTCAGTGCTGGGGGGGCCTTTAAGGCCCCTCTGGGTCTCTCGTTCCCATCATAGAGTGGGTTGTCTGCTTGCTGTTGTGGTCACAGCCCCTGGATCTCTAGGGATCCTGGGAGTCCATCAGCATAAGAACATCAAGGAACATCCTACCTGCAGGGCCAAGTAGAGTCAGCCACAGCAGAACTGGCATAGTCTGAACAACTCTTCTAGGGTCCCACCCTTCTCCATGCAGGTGTGACATCTAGGGCCACTCACAGCTCGTGGGTAATGAAGCTTGACCATCCTGAGGCAGAGCAGCTAGTCCATGTCACACAGTCTTGCTGTGAGGTGCTTGGCAGGGGGGTGATGGATGGATGCTTTCTCTGGCCATTAGTACAGGTGTCTCTGTTGTCAGCAATGGAATGAAACACCAGGGGTTTGTGCAAAGGAAGAAGCCTGCTTTCGCCTCATTGTACTGGACCCCAGAGTCCAAGGTAGGTCAGCAGCTGGTGGGGTAACAGTGCAGTCCCAAGAGTAGATAAGGCATAATCCAGTCCCCAGGCTTCTGTTCCAGGACCCATACACTGCTGGCTACTGTGGTCATGGCCCCTGGGTCTCTGGGGACCCTGTGAGTCCATCAGTACCAGGACACCCGGGAGTATCCCACCTGCAGGGCCAGGGTGCCTGTGAGGAGCCCTGCTCCCATCTCATCATGCCTGAGGGTATTCCCAGAATTTGGGATACATGCTTATGCTACCATTCTATAGCTTGGGAAGCTGAGACCAGAAAGGCTGAATGAGCAAAACCATCCCCTGATAATCACACAAAAGCCTCTGGGTTTGGAAACACGGAGTCTCCTGCCAGCTCAGGGGTCCAGCCACCCTCTGGGCTAACCTCACGTGCTGTCCAGTGTGTCAGAGAACAGATAAGTCAGATGCTATCTCTGGGAACTGCAGAAGGCCTGGCTCCAGGCCACTGTGTACACCCTGCAATCTGTCTCCCTCTCCTCTGCCTCCCTGAGGCTGGCAGTATTGGGCTAGAGGGGTGGTCGCTGGAGCAGCTCCCAGAAGCAGCTTGGCCTGCACTTGGCTCCCAGGTGGGACTTCACAGCAGCATTCCAAGATGCCTGAGTTCCTGGCAAAGACTCCTCACCCTCTTTTCCTACAACCATCTGTGGCACCCCCATCGTCTGCAGGAGGAAAGCAAACTTAGACTTCAGAAGCGTTTGTTAACAGATAGGTTTGGCCTGAGAGACCACACTTCTAGCAAGTCCCCGGTAGTGGTAAGAACGACGTCCCTCAGACCTTACTTGGAGGAATGAGACCTCACAGATCTCCATCTGCTGTTTCTCCCTCATCTTTCAGGAAGACTCTGCCCACAGGTTCACATGGTAGCTGCCTTCTCAAATCTACTTCTCCTTCAGAATCAGGCTCAAAAACTTCTTCCTAGTGGCTTTCCTTGTTCCTAGATGGCTACATGGTCATCATCTGCACCCCCAGACCTCTTTACTAGCCCTTAAAATCCTGAGTGGTCCCAGACCTCAGACTCCTTGGATCACACCCAGATCAGTTTCAGTGACTTTGAGAAAATTGCTTAGGCTTTCTGTGTCAGAGTTCACATTTTGTTCCAAGGTTGGCCAACAGTCACTTCCTCACATATGTATGGATAAAATTAAATAAAAATGTGTGGTGGGGTGACCGGGGGCAGGGCAGAGGCAGAACCTGTTTCCCTTCCTGTCTGGTTTTGTCTCCGGTCCCCAGTGCCCAACACAGCAGGCTCTCCTGTTAATCCATGGGGTGACCTTTCCAAGGGCTTCTCAAACCACAAAAGTAAATTCCAAAGGAGCAGCAAAGAGCCCAAGAGCTCCAGCTGAGCTTCCCACTGCCAATCAGAATCGCTCTAGAAACTCATCTGTCAAGAGAACAAATGTTTTCTTAAAGAAAGAGCAGCCGTCATGCCAGACGCCTATGTATCTTTTGCCATTCTGTCTTCAAGAGGCCACAGATGCCGGGGGGGGGGGGGTCTGCTTTCTTCCCCCTGGGGTGGGGTTGAGGGGCCCAGGTAACCTGCTGTGCCCTGGTGAAGGCCCATGTCTTCATGGCCATCCCTCCTTGCTGTTTCCCGTCAGGGGAACACTTGGAGCCTGTGAGCTAGCTCTCTCTCTCTCTCTCTCTCTCTCTCTCTCTCTCTCTCTCCCTGGTTTGAATCATCCATATGGGATTCAGGCCCATCTTTTCCATCCTCACTAACTCTCCCATGGCTGCACAGTGCTCCTAGATCTTTGACCTTGGCCTCAGTGCTGGTCCAGAGAACTTGTCCAGTGCCTGGACCTTTCCCCTCCCCTGAGACCCTCTATTCTCCTCTCTACTCAAGGAAGTCTATTCAGGGAAGGCCTCCTAGGGTGTGAGAGCGAGTGGGGCAGAGACTTGAGCCTGCAGACAGATAGAAAACACAGATTCATCTAAAGGTGCCACCGGAGCTGGCCTGGGGTAGCCTGTGAGCGTAATCTGACTTCCATAGTGACTGGGCAGCCAAGGGTTCCCTGGGAGTGAGGACCCTGTATCTAAATCTCTGCTGTATTTGTCTGCATGCCCTGTGCAGTTGTGGATAGCCCCTGTTTGGTGCCTTGTGTCACTAATACTCTGCCCTTTTTCTCAGTACCCATGTGTAGAATAGAATGGGGCAGTTGAGGTGCCCAGGTAGCCCTCTGTGCCCTGGTGAAGGCCCATGTCTTCATGGCCATCCCTCCTTGATGTTTTCCATCAGGGGGACACTTGGAGCCTGTGAGCTCCAACTGGGAGAGTAGAATGGGGCAGGAACAATGAGTAGGTACCACTGCCCCCTCTGGAGGGGTCCTGGGGCTGCATTAGGATCTTCCTGGTTGATCTTGAGCCCTGAGTGAAGGAGGCCTATCAGAGTGCAGGATTGGGGTCCAGCTGGGAAAGGCAAGGGGCAGCCTGCCAGCTGTGACTGCAGCCCATGACCAGCTGCCTCTGCCTGTCAAGCTTAGATGTGGAAGATCCTCGGCCTGGGGCACTCAGTCCTTGTGTGATGTGGACTTGTGGACACTGTGTTTGGGAGGCTGTTAGGTCATAGTCCCTAAGCCCCTCCTTCCAGAGAGAAAAGTGAGGCAGAGAGAAGAGATCAGTGCCAGGGTCCTGGGAGGACTGTAAGCACTTGCAGAGGTGCCCAGGGTGGGGAGGGGGTGTCATGGCCAGAGAGGCCGAACTTTTTGACTTATGGCTAGAATCCTGTGCTGGTTCTGCTGAAATCTTTTCCTAACAAGAAAAAAGTTTAGAAAGTCCTGTCTTTTCCAGATGTGAAAACTGAGGCCCAGGGAGGACAGTCATTGGCCAAAGCCCTGGGGAACTCTAGGAGCAGAACCCTGTGCCCAGGACACTGTGTGAGGACCCAGGGTCGCCCTCTTCTAAGAGCCTGGGTGCTGCCATATGCCCCTGGGACTGAGGGGGCCTCAGATACTCATCTTCGAACCACAGGGATGAAAGCCTTGTCCCCTTTAAGTAGAGAGCTGGCTGCAGTGGGTTGACTATGCCCAGCCAGTGGGAGGGAGCTCCAGGGCCCCTCCTTGGGAGGGTGAGGGAGGGACCTGGTGTGTGGCTGGCAGCTGTGGGCAGTGCAGAGACTGCAGACATGCTGTGTGGACTCGGCCGGGACAGCCCTGCGGAGGCAGGTAGGTGGAGCGTGCAGACGTCACACCAGCTGAACGCAGCAGATGGGGGGCCTGGATGGTAGGAATGGGGCTGCCACTCTAGGGGACAAGGACTTTGGAAGTTGGGTGGAAAAGAGGGCATGGGATTCCTAGCCAGGCAGGTGCTGAGGGCTGTCTGCTCTGGAGCTATCCTGTCTCTGGAAGGCTGCCTCCCAGGGCTGTCCCTGGGGCACAGGTTACAGGGTGTTTAGCCAGAGACCCAGGGAGGCTGCCCCTCCTGCCTCAGTGGGGAGAGTAGTGTTGCTGGCCATTGGGAGCATGGGACTGTCCACTGGGACAGAGTCCTCCCCAGACCAGGGTAGGTCAAGGTTTCTGGGAACCCTGGGCTCTGGAACTCAAAAGAGGGGTGGGGCCCAGCTGCCACATTCCTAGGTGGCAGTGGTAATGTCTGGGACTGGGGAGAAGCTGTGGGGTGAGTACAATGATTGCTGTCTCTGTCCATCTATCTGTCCGTTTCCTAGCTTCAGCCAGTTGAGCCAGCCTGACACCATCCCCTAATAGTGTGGGTCATCCCAATCTCTGTGCCTTAGTGTCACCACCCTTCAATGCTCCCAGTTCCTTCCACAATTTACACACCCTTCAGGGTCTATGCCACTGAGCGCCACAAGTCTTCAAGGAACACCTCAGTCATAACAGTTGGAGTTGGGGACTGTGGAACTTCTGTGCTTAAGCCTGAGGCTGCTGGGCTTTCAGCCATACTCTCTTTGTGGCTTTCAGGCTGTGTCCTGGTCTTCTGGCCTCTGGGCCCCTACCTCTAGTGAGGGCTGCTATCTGGTATTCTGAGTTCCCAGGAGGGAGTGGCTAAGCCCAAAGTCTGATAATGGCTCCTGAGCTCTCTCAGGGCCTCTCTTGGGCTCTCTAGTTTCGACTCTGATACTTCCCTGACTCCATCACCACTGCAGCCCTTGAGAATCTCTTCCTTAGGTCACAGGACCCCACAATCACACTTGCATCAGTACTGGTTGACTTCCAGGTGTTCTGTGTTTCTTTATTTATCTCTTCCCTATTCCTCTATATAGCTTTGTTTCTGGTTCCTTCTTCTTCTTGATCATTAAGCTTCAGAATGTCAGAGAGCCTAATTTCAATAGTTCCCTCAAAAGTCTCGGGACCTAACATGGATCCCATGCCCATAGCTAAACCAACCACAGGGCTTCTCACTGGCCAGGCCTAGTTGTAGGGCCTCTTCTAATCTGGGGAAGGAAGGTGGCCAACAGGTGGTCACAGGCATGGGGGCTGTGGCCTCTGTGTGAGTGGAATCGGGATTGGGGTCTGTGAAGCAGGCATCCTGGCTCTCTCTGACCTGGATGTACTCTGCTGGAGTGGATCTTTCCCCAGGGACTGTTCAGGCTCTCTCCTGGGAGCCTCTAGGGTATCTACAGGATGGAAGATAACATACAGTAGATCTGACTCAAACTAAAATGGCTAAGAGCCCCACCCACCAACCATGCCAGCATATGCATACTGCCTTTGAACCCCTGCCTGAAGGACGGGCATGTCCTCTGACTCCTGACCACAAAGATGTCTTTGTCACTAGGGGCTGCCAGGCTTTACTGAATACTGGCCACTCACCAGGCTCAGGACAATTGAGGCAGAGTGTATGCACAATGGAGGATCCCTGTTGGCACCCCCTTCCCCAGAGGCTTCATCAGAGCCACTTCTAGTCCTGGGCTGTGGCCATGAGGGAACCTTAGAGGCCACCCACTTGGGGGTTAGCCAGGAGCCTGGAGCCAAGGAGGGGTGGGCTCCACCCAGGCTTCATCCCTTCCTAATCCTGGCTTCCGGCCACTCGTCTTGCTTCTTTGATGGCCGTTCTCCTCATCCACAAATAGGGCCTGAGTTCAAAAGCTAGGTGCTTACAGAATACTAGAAAGCCCTACCGCAGACTTACCCCCACTAGAAGCACAGTGAGGTCTTTCTGTTCATGTTGAATGCTGAAGAAAAAAATGGCAAGAGTTGATAGGGACTTTAGGAGGTGTTGGGATGAGTCTGCACACAGACTCATGGGCATGGGCTTCCTGACTGGGGACTTTTCATCAGGATGCTGCAGGAGGTAAGAAGGAATGTCTGGGAAGTCTTCCAGGATCAGGGAGGAGTGACTCTAGTCATGGCTCCAAGGAGGCTTGCCATACGTAGCCAACATTTCCTGCAACCTCGCTTGGGATCTTTGGTGCTCTTGCCAGGGGAAGGAATAGAACTGGGAGTGAAGGATGCATCCCCCTTGGGTCAGGGACACCTGGTTCCAGGATGCTGTGCAGCACACCAGCTGTGGCTGCAGTCTCCCCATCACAGGGACCCCAGTGAGACTGCCCCCTTGCTTCTCAGTGAAAGCAGTTTGTGTGGAATCTTGCAGTGGGCTGGTAGAGGGAGAGTCCAGAAAGGTTGCCAATCTGTGTTCTTTCTGGCCACCTTGGCACTGCACTATGAGGATTCCTGTTTGACGTGTGGCTGCTGGGCTCATGCCATTGAAAATGAACCGTGGTCGTCTTATCTGTCGTCACATGCATCTGCCTGTGGAAAGCTGGCTTCCTGGAGGCCTATTGGCTATGGAGACCAAAGCCCGCATTTCAGACCTGTGCTGATTCAGCCCTGCAGGGACAGGGGTGTCACTGTGGGACAATGTCTCTTTGCACAGAGAGGTCCAGGAGCTGAGGTATTATCATGTTCAGAGGGAGGGGGCATAAGGGGTAGGACCAGATGCCCTGGGAAGCCATGTGGCCTGGGCTTAAGTGCATCCAGGAGCTGAGTGTCCTTAATGTGGTTCCCTTAACTTCTGTGTACCTTGGATTCTCCATCCATCCCGTTATAGTGACAGTGGCACTTCAGACCCAGGCTTATCATGAAGACAGTGGTAGTGACTTTGAAGTTCTTGGAACCAGGCCTGGGGCAAAGCTTGCCCCATCTTTTGCCATGAGGTAATACTCACCCTTTCTGTGCCTCAGTTTCCACCCTGCTGTGTATCAGTATGCCAAGCTGGCCCGACTCCAAAGTTCATCCTTCCCTCTGCATACCAACAATGCCTTCCGTATTCTGGTGGTGAAGTCAAGGTTGGGCAGGGATGTGATGTCAAACAGCCACTCTCTAGGAATTGTCACTGAATCACCACCGTCAAAGTGGGCACTAAGGGACCTTGATCCAGCTGCCATGGGAACACAAGGATCCTACTAAGGGGTCTTCATCTTCAGCAGATGCCAGACCTCAGCTAAGTTTACAGCACCCCCCCAGCCCCATGCCCCCTTTCTGCCATTTACTTGGGCGGCATCCTGGCACAGCAGCTTGGCAAGGGACAGACTTCCTTTTCCCTTTGTCAGAGCTCAGTAGCTCCCTGGGGCTGCAGAGGGAGGGAGATGTGAGGCAGATCAGCAAGATTTGCCTGAGGAAAAAAAAAGAAAGGACTCCCCCCCACACACCTCTAGCAGCCTAACTGCAGCAGCCAGGACCAGGTGTCTAGGCCTGTGCCCTGACTCCCCATGGGCCCCGGAAGTGAATTTCTCTCTGAAGCAATTTCTACAGCACCGATTGACTGAAGTAGTGCTCATAATTGGCCATTGCTGGAAGGAGGAGACTAGAAAAATGCAGATAAAAATATCCCTGGTTTTTTTATGCATGTTTCCAGCTGAAATTGGTGGGAAAGATGTTTTTTTTCTTTTTTTTTTTTGAAAAGCCTTCATCTGTAAGCATGTAATTACCAGGTCCAAGAACCCCCCTATCAAAAAAAAAATACAAGAGGACAGGAGAATGTGAACATATTCCCTGAGGGAGGATGCTGGGGGCCAAACTCTATGGAGGCATCTATAAATAAAGTGGTCCCCTAATTTCTCACTGTCCTCAGTGAGGAACACCTCCCCCACTATGGAGAGCAGAAGCTCAGGCATGCAACCAATTGGCAGTTCTGACCCTGCCTTGATTCTTGGTTTGAATTCTGCCTCAGTCTCTCCCAACAAGAGATTATCCTGGGAGGGGGGAATCAGGATGTTCCCCCTGAAAATGCATCAGTATCATCCATGCCTTATGGGTTATTCTGAACATGACTGGGAGAGGAGGAAGTCCTAGATTCAAAAGCCTCCTACTCAGTAGACCTCCTACCTGGTATGACCTCATGACCTCCAATGGAGCCCCCTGGGCTCAACCTGAAATGCCTGTCCTTGCTCTGGCCTCTGCTAACTTCCCTGCGCCCACCCCCATTGTGTGTGTGTGTGTGTGTGTGTGTGTGTGTGTGTGTGTGTGTGTTTGTATGCATGCGTGTGCACATGCACATGCTTGGCTTTTTATGGGTTCTGGGAGACTTGAACTTGGGTTTTCATGCTTGTGTGGCCCCTCTCTACAGTCCCTGCCTACTAACTCCATGCACAGTGCCGTTAACCTGTTTGTGACCTCTTCCCATCAAAACCTGGAATTGCATAGCTGGCAACCAGGGCTCAAGGCTAGCAGGATTTGTATGACGGATAAAGTTGGGGCCACTCAGTGTTATTAATAGAAGACCCATGTGACTTAGTTGCCCCCATGAAGTTACCATGGCCAAGTTCAGCACTGGATGAGATCTGAATATTGGGATGAAGAAAGCAGGGAGTATCATCTTTAAAGATGGGTTGTAGGGACACTCTAGGTACAGGGTCCCCTCCTTCAGCAGCTAGCTTCCAAACCCTGACTGCTTAAAGTATTTGGGGATGCCCAACCTTCAGTTCTCTGTTCCTTCTATTTTATCTTCAGGGTTCAAATCTCCGCCTTTAACCCACAGGTGTTCAGGGCCGCATCCCAAAGGAGTCACTGCTCTGGTGTAGAAAAACTTGGTCCTCAGCTTCCTTGAAACAGGCCCCCACACCCTTCCCCGCAGAGGCATAAACCTTGAAGCTTATCTCTCATCTCCCCAGCACAGCCCAAGAGGGAGGAGCCTATGAGACAGGATCTGATTTGTCTGGATGAGACACATTTCAATTTCAGAATCGCCCTGGTGAAATACTAGACATCTGCACCACATCGCCGATGGAACACAGCCTTTCTAATTTTATTAGCTCAGAAACGTCTTGTTGGAGATAATGAAGGACATACAAGGGAGCAGTAACAGGAGGCATTACACTAAATGGTGTGTTGCCTGCATTGGAGATGGCTGTGAACATGGGTCTGGAAAGGAGGGTGAACACAGAGCTGCTGGGGACCCCACTCCAGGAGCCCTAAGAAAGCTGTTCACTTTAACTGCTGTTTGACTGGTTACTTACCAGCTTTCGGGGAAGCAGAGGGAGCCTGGCCACTCAGCAGAGTAAATGTAACCCAGAGAGCATGAAATGAGGGTACAGCTGTGAGCATAGTAAAGTCCAGAGAAGGACTTGTGTAAAACAAAGGTCCTGCAGGAAGGGAGAGGCAGTGGCTTCACCACAGAACACCACATCTGTTCTGAAAAGCAGATGTGGGTGAGCCTGGGAAAGGATGGAGGAGGCAGACATCAGTTAGCAGACAGGGAAAGGTACAGCTCTCCCAGGCCAGTGCCGGCCACTTAACCATTAGAGTTTCTGGGTTACACAGGTGCTGATGTGCTGGGGGCGTCCCCAGGTGTCCAATAGAGGATGCTTCCAAGGCTTGTGAATAGCAAAAGCCACAAAGCTTAGATCACGTTCCTAAAACAATGTCATCTTTGTATGTTACTTGTGTGCATTCCAAGGACGGTCAGCTTTCTGTATTGCCTTGTCCCTCTGCTGTGGGCCAACCAACCGCACATAAAAATTGTCAGGAGAAATTTGTACTGAACATGCAAACGTGCAAATCTTTTGTTTTTTTCCATCATCATATTACATATTGTGTTACCCAGTCATCTAGGCTGGAAGGTGCTCGCTGTGTTAATAGCATACTGTTTTATGAATGGACTGGAGAATCTGAAGTCGTGGTGTTCTTCAGGGATGGGGGACATGATCCCAGTGGATACTGAGGGATGACTACACTGTCTCATCTCTAGATGAGGCACAATGTCCATGTTGATCATACAAAGTAGAAAAAGCCTGGGCATGTTCAGTATAGAAGCATTTTTTTTTTCTGAACATTTTCTCACAGTTGAATCTATAGGTGTGGAGACAGAGAGCTGACTGTATTCTCTTTATATTTGAAATGTCTGGATGGGGTGTTTGTTTTGTTTTGGTGAGGGCCTCATAGCACAGGCTGATGTTGAAGTCACTATATAGTTGAGCTCCTAACCTCTGTCTCTACCTCTGGAGTGCTGGGGTCACAACGCCTGCCATCACACTGTGCTCTAATAACTCTTTTAAAAAAAAGTACCACAGAGACAAATGTCTGTGCAGATGAGACACGTCCTAGGAAGATAAGGAGACAGGAAATGAGAGAGGGGTGGTAAGGATCGGGGAAGAGAGTGGCAGGCCCCACTCCATCTGCTTAATGTAGGGGTGGGGTGGCTGAGAAATGATACTTGATGAAACAATGGGGAAGATTTTTCATTTAGTAAAGCTAAGGTTGGTGGGTTTACACACAAGTAGGGCTTATAGTCTGTAAAGTATTAGCATACATACACACACATGTACACAGAAGCACTGGCCAGGTCTGCTTACAAGAACCATGGTAAATGCCTACCCTACCAGGGATGCATCTAGATCTTGCGACAGAGCCAACAAGCCTGGGTTCTAAGCTAGGTCACAAGCCCCCCAGCTGTGGAGTTCTCCCTCTCTGAGCCTTAGCTTCCTTTCTGGATAGTTGGGCAGCATTACCTGTGATAACAATTTGGACTATAGCATGGGCATGTCAGATGCTCAGCCTTAGATTGGCAGAGAAACTGCCAATGTGGGGATCCTTATCCAAGCATTCTTAACCCCGAAGAGACCCCCAGGACACCTTTACCAGACACCAGGTATAACTGATGAATGGCATGAAGTAGAAGAGCTCCCCAAGTGGAATGAAGATGAAAGTGGGGCCTGGCAGTTTCTGACTCCAGTTTCCACCTTTCCTCCACAGATGATGGGCCTTACTCAAAAGGGGGAAAGGACGCAGTGGGGCCTGATGGGACCCTGGTGTGCCGCCGACAGAGCATTCCAGGTATGTTGGATCATTCTTTGCCTGGAGCTCTGCCATGAGAATTCCAGTGACTCATGAAGTGTGGGCAGTGCCACTAACTAGCCCTGTGCCCTTAGTGTGTCACCCATCTTCTCTGGTCCTCCCTGGTGGAGGACTGTGTCACACAGTGTAAAGTGGCCAAGTGCCTACCGCCCTGCCCAGCCTCCCCAGTCTTGGTCCCTGAGTAGGCACTACCAGCTCATCCTCCCGTCTGCCTACAGAGGAGTTCCGGGGCATCACCATGGTGGAGCTGATCAAGCGTGAGGGCAGCACTCTGGGCCTGACTATCTCGGGAGGAACTGACAAGGACGGGAAGCCCAGAGTCTCCAATCTGAGACCTGGGGGCCTGGCAGCCAGGTAAGAGGTGTGGGTCAATGGATAGGGCACCGGGAGGCAGATAAGTGATGGAGCTTGATGCCTGCCACAGGGAAGCCTCTAAGTGGCTGATTCAAGGCCCAGCCTCTTTCCTTCTCTTCCTCTAGAGTCACAGCACCCCACCCAGGCAAGGTGTGCACCTTTCCATGCCATTCCCTCTGGCCCCCCATACCACTCTCCTGGCAGGCTCCCATTCCTTCCTCCATATGCCACATTGCTTCCAGGAAAACCGTCAGGTTTCCAACTATACACACTGTCCTGGATGCTTCCTTAGACAACAAGGACTGGAAGGTGGCCCAAGTGTCCAGATGAACCAATCAGAAGGGCCTCAGAAAAGCGTGGAAAGAAAATAAGAGAAGAGTGATGGATGGGACTCTATGGCTCTTCTTTGGGCTTATGCAGTATGGTCAGAGATGTCACCATGATGCTGTCACCAGGCCAGCACAGTGGGACAGGCTGGGAAGTTCTGTGTGTCACACCCGGCCTTGGTTAATCAGGTGCTTGTGTGGCCTCGGATAAAGGAAGGACCGCTCTGAGTCTCAGCTCTCTGAGGATCCTGTGGGAGGGTGAATGTTGGTAGCCAGAGGCTAGCATTGGTCCAGTGTGGACTCTGGCTTTCTTGCTGTAGGAGTGATCTACTGAATGTAGGCGACTACATCCGCTCAGTGAATGGGATCCATCTGACCCGGCTCCGACATGACGAGATCATCACACTGCTGAAGAACGTGGGCGAACGCGTGGTGCTGGAGGTGGAGTATGAGCTGCCCCCGCCCGGTGGGTGCCCTTGGACGGGGAACTCTGTCCACTGCCTCAGGCATGGGGGGACACAGCGGCCTCCCTGCCCAGGCCTAGGGGGTGTTGGGGATCACCTAGACAGGGTGGGTGATGTCTGGAGGCTGGCCACACATGCTAGGGCATGCATACAGTATGTTGTTATGAGGTGGTGGTGGGACCCTATTCATAACTTGTCATTTTGCATAGTTGGATAGAAAGGAAAGTTTGGGGACAAGGACTAAATAACCTGCTGCCTGCCACCATTGCTGCCGACCCCACTGCCCTGCACTGAGCACAGTGGCCTAGGACTTCTCCCAGCTCTGAATTTCCAATGTTGGTCTAAAGGCTGGAAGCAAGCCTAGCCTAGCCCCCAGTCTCGCCGCATCTGTGGCCCTCATGAGCACGGTCAGGTCCTCTCCACTGGCTGTGGTGGACTAGGTGTGGGTAGAGATGATGAACTCCCGGTGCCCTACCTCCTCTGCCTGTAAAGTAGAGAGAGGTCAGCTGTCACTGTGATTCTGTGACTGGTCACTTGACGAGCCTTGGGCATATCTACCAGCACAGAGATATGGCAGAGAGACTCAAAGGAGGCCTCCATTTCTCCATAGCTCCCGAAAACAACCCGAGGATCATTTCTAAGACGGTGGATGTCTCCCTCTACAAGGAAGGCAATAGCTTTGGCTTTGTCCTCAGAGGTCAGTGTGACAGTCATCCTTGGAGTTGGGATGACAAAAACAAGGTCATCAAGAACCCATGCATGCTCTGTGTCCCATTAGTGGATGTGACATACATTCTGCCCAGAACTTTATCCTTTTATTTAACTGTATGTCTGTGTGTACATGCAAACGTGACATGTATGTAAGGGTCCAAGGACAGCTTGTAGGAGTCAGTTCTCTCATTTCAGTGTATGTATGGCATCTATGTACCACACTCAGCCCATAAGCCTTGGCAGCAAAGAGTTTTACCTGAACCATATCTCACTAGCCCTTGCTTAGGACTTTAAAGGACCCTGGACCACTGAGTCAAACATTAAATGGACAATTGTGAGAAGCGGTGAAGCACGCATGGTTGATGAGAGCCCAACAACAGAGATGGTGGGGAAAGATTCATAGCAAAGTTTGGAGTTACTGAGTAACCAGGGCAAAAAGGAAGAGAGGGTGAGGTCACGGGAGATGCGTGCTGTTTGAGAAGATGTGGATTGTGTTTCCTGTCCCTCATCCCACAGGGGTGGAGGAGTGGGGGGCGGGGGAGGCTGCTTGAGCCGGCGTCAAGAACTTTGCTTATCAGGGAAACTTCCTGTTGAATTATGCCCAGGAGGTGCCCATGAGGACCTGCACAAATCCCGCCCATTGGTCCTGACTTACGTGCGGCCTGGTGGCCCAGCAGACAGGTGAGCCTGCCTGAGGCAGAAGCATCTGCATCCTCTGGCCACTTGACACGTGTACCTGTGGACACTGTGTGGCCATCTGAGGCCCTGCATCTTCACATCACTTCCCAGATGGGAGACTGAGGCCAGGAGGGGACAACCTGCCCAGAGTCACTCAGGGAATTAATGGAGGTGGCTAGGAGCGACCCCAGCTTGCCTCTTCCCAGGATCCTTCTGATCCAGCCTGTGGCTAAGCACTGTGACTGGCCATCGCTGGGACTGTCTGTGAAAACCTCTTATGACCCAGCACTGCCTGGCTCAGCCCATCAGGGTCTGGAGGATAGAGTATGAGAGAGGAATATGTCCAGGCCCTGTCCCATCCCTTGACCCCTCACCCTTGATCTCTGAGCAGGAGACTCCCGACCATTTTAAGAGAAGCCTGGACCAGGCTTGTTGTAGATCTAAATTTGTCCTTGGTCTGAGGCCCTGCATGAGTCACTATTCATAGAACCTCCTGGAATAGCTTTGGCACCTGTCAGGGGTGACATTCCAGGGCAGGGATTGGGCCCAAACTGGAGCCCTGCTGAGTTCTTTCCCAAGCTCATTTGTCACGAGGCCAGAGTCACCACTGGAAAATGAGGGTGGGGACAATGGAAGGAGACTCTATAATGGTCAACATGGTGCCCATAGACCACCGTCGTCTCTGATGCTGTGTGTCCCCAGCCAAGTGGACACCCTCTCTGAGCTGTGGTGCTCTCTTCTGCCTCTGGTGCAGGAGGTGAGTGAGTAGTCTTGAAGAACACCTCCAGCTCAGACATGCTGTGGGGTAGAAGGCTGGCCTGGCACATTTTACTTGCCCTCTCTGTCTGTCCAGCCCCAACTTCCTCAGGCTTCCCTCCACACACTGCCCCATCCCTGTGCCCCACAACTGACTGGGATTTCACCTTCACCACAGGGAGGGCTCCTTGAAGGTGGGTGACAGGCTGCTCAGCATAGATGGGATCCCACTGCATGGGGCCAGCCATGCTACCGCAATAGCCACCCTGCAGCAGTGCAGCCATGAGGCCCTTTTCCAAGTGGAGTACGATGTGGCCACCCCAGGTATGTTGGAGTCTGAGGTACGGGCCGGGGGCAGGAAGAGGTTCCAGATGCTCAGCACTACAAAGGCTGTGTGATCTTAGGCCAGTACCTTAGCCTCTCTGAGTCTCTTGACTGTGCCAGGCATCTCCTGATTTCACTGCGGATCTTGCAGGAGCAATACAGGTGAAGTCTCTGGTCCTGTGGGGCAGGGAATGTCAGGTAGCATACTAGGTAAGGTAATATGTATTAGATGGCAGAGAAAAGAGCAAAGAGAGCACACACCAGAGCACGTGCGTGCACACACAAGCAGCCTGAGCATAGCTTCTAACTAGAGCATGAAGTGAAGGAGTGAATCTTTGGGGAAGCTCTAGACGGCATGGACTGTAAGTGCAAAGGCCCTGGGGCAGGAGTATTGGCTTGTGAGTGCGGGGCCAACCTGCCTGTAGCAAATAAGCTGCAGGGAGGAATCCAGGACAGAAGAGGTGGAGGTAGAAGGCCCAGGACTACAGGAAGTGACTAGCTGTCTCAGGGGGAGCTGATGTGAGATCAGGATGCTTGGGGTGCAGATAGGGGGTGTTTCTGAAATATGATGGAGGCCTGGCCTGATTTGCTGGTGGCTGTATGTATCTCTTCCTCTCTATGCTACCCCTTTCCTCAGTAGTAAGGGTTGAAGGACAGCAGGGCTAGTCCAGGCGGGACAGTGAGCATGTTTATTTTCCACGATTCTTTCTTTTTTCCTCCTCCCCATCATTCCAGACACTGTGGCCAATGCTTCAGGTCCATTGGTGGTAGAAATAGCCAAGACCCCAGGATCTGCACTGGGAATCTCTCTCACCACTGGCTCGCACCGGAACAAACCTGCTATCACCATCGACCGCATCAAGCCGGCCAGCGTGGTGGACAGGTGAGGCAAGGCAGGGGAGCACAGGGCAGAGGAAACCCATGGCTGTGTCCACTGGACCAGCCCCACTGTGCCCCTGTCCCACAGGAGTGGTGCCCTGCATGCTGGAGATCACATCCTGGCCATCGATGGCACCAGCACAGAACACTGCTCACTGGTGGAGGCCACCAAGCTCCTGGCCAGTGTGACTGAGAAAGTACGGCTGGAGATCTTGCCTGCACCCCAGAGTCGTCGGCCTCTGAAGCCCCCAGAGGCAGGTAGGCACCTTAGCAGGTCTGGGGCCCCAAATCTGGGATGGCATGGGGAGAATGAGAGCAGCTCCAGAGTTCCAGGATGGAAGCCTTGAGCAGACAGGACTGTGTGAAGCCAGTAAGCTAACTGCCTGCCACATTTGGCAGGGAAACGGAAGCTGCAGAGGCTTCTGTGGGCAGCACTCAGCTGGGAACCTCTGGGCCCAGGGTCTGGCCTTCCTGCCTGTTACTGCAACTGGTGCCTGGGCACATAGTTGGTGGCAATGCGTGTGAGCAAGCTGTTCCTTGTCTCGCTGGCTTGGGCAGTACAAAGATCTCAAATCATACCATCAGTGTGGGTGTGTAGACTAGTCTGCTGAATAGCTCCAGACATCTGTGACACTTTCCTCTTCCCACTGCCACAGTGAGGGTACAGAGGAGCGAGCAACTACACCGCTGGGACCCATGTGGCTCCACTTGCCACAGCCCAAGGCCAAGCCACTGCAGGGCCCCCACCTGGGCACCCGGAAGCCAGGACCAGAGCCGATGTAATGTGGCTGCTGCAGCAATGCTGTCTTTCTAGCACCCCTTCCTGGTGGGCGGTGTCTGTTGTGCGGGAGGAAACTGACACTGGAGCAGAGGGCTGCCCCTTGTCACTCAGCCTGTCCCTAGAGGCCTGTGGAAATACTAGTCAGGGAGTCCCAGAGTGGGAGAGAGACCTGTCCAAAGTAAGGGACTTTGGTGAAGGGGAGAGGGGATGCCTGTCTCTGTCTATGTGACTGTATGGTTCTCCAACCCCACCCACCCCCTGGAGACCAGGGCCCTGTTGGGGCTCACAGGGCTGTGCTCTGGTCTCCCCAGCCTTGTCCTCAACTCCCTTCTCCTCACCAACTGTGAACCCCGCCTTTCCCTGTGCCAACGCCAGCACCCTGCCCCGAGGACCCATGAGCCCCAGGACAACAGCAGGGCGGAGGAGGCAGCGAAGGAAAGAACACAGGAGCTCTTGTAAGCTGGAGGCTGTCCCCATGGGGCACCAGTGTGGCTGAGGATGGGGCTGGGGTGAGACTTGGGGTAGTGTTGCCAAGTAGGGTGAAGGATAGAGTTAAACATACAAGGCTCACCCTGGCCACCTGGGTGTGGTGTGGGCCACACATTGGATAGTCCCAGCTGTGACAGGAAGGAGTCTCTGAAGCTGCTGTGTTCAGTGTCTGAGGTCTGTCACCAAGAGCCTCATAAGAGCATTTCTGTGATGTGTCTAGGAAAACCCTCAGGGACAGAAATAGGTTGAGGATAGATTGCCTGTGGCAAGATGCAGGTTCTGGGGCAATGGGTGAGGAGACAGTGATTCCTTTCTTTTTCTGGTTTGAGACAAAGTCTCACTATGTGGACCAGTCTGGCCTAGAATTCAGTCTTCTTGCCTCAACCTCCCAAGTGCTGTGATTTCAGCCATGCACCACCCGACATGGCTAGGGGTTCCTTTGGGAGGGAATGACAATGCTCTAAGCCATCAAATTATACACTGAAAGAGTGACAACTATTGTGTGGGGACCTCGTATTAATAAAGCTGTTACCAGGAACTGGAGAAATGTCTCAATGATTAAGAGTGTTTACTGCTCTTGTGAAGATTCCAATTTCAGTTCCCAGCACCCATAACAGGCAGCTCACAACCACCTGTAACTCTACTTCCATGGGGAGCTGACAGCTGACACCTTCTTCTGGCCTCTGCAGACACCCACACACCTACACCCACATACACACACACACACACACACACACACACACACACACACACACACACAAGACATACATATGTACATAATTAAAAACAATAAAATAAATCTTAAAAAAGAAAACTATTATCAAAGCAAAGAGGCATGTAGAATACAGAACACAAAATATAGCACAACCCCAATCTGTGGTGATATTTTGTTTATGATCTAACAAATAAAGCTTGCCTGAAGATCAGAGTGCAAAGCTAGCCACACTAGTTCTCCATAGAGACCAAGCAGTGATGGCACACACCTTTAGTCCCAGAAGCCATACTAGTTAGCTAAAGAGGCCAGGCAGTGATGGTATACACTTTTAATCCCAGCACTCAGGAGACAGAGGCAGACAGATTTCTGTTAGTTAAAGGCCACCCTGAAATACACAAAATTGATCCAGTCTCAAAGAGAAACAGAGCTCACACAAAGGTGATCTCACCTCTTGAGATCACACGCCTTTAATCCCAGCACTAGAGAAGAATATAAGGCTGGAGGAGACAAGAGAGAGATGCAGTCTAGGGAGAAGGAAGTCTGAGGTTTGGTGGAGAGCAGTGCAGTCTGAGGCGGTGGATCACCCCTTCGGTCTGAGCATTGGTAAAGTTGAGAACTCTCCAGTGGCTGGCCATTTAGCTTCTCTCATCTTCAGCGTTAAGCCCATATCTGTCTCTGGGTTTCTATTATTAATACCAATTAGAATTTGTGAGACACCAATCCAGTTTTACTCTCCCAAGTTTTAGTCACCCACAGTCAACCACAATCTGAAAATATTAAATAGACAGATCTGGAAATAGACCATAGGTTTTAAATTGTACACTGTTGTGAGCAGCACAGGAAAAGCTTACGTCTGCACCACTTGGTCCATCCTGGGATGCGAACAGCATGTTCACCCAGCACATCTATCATGTATATGCTACTCAGCTGTCAGTCCCTCTATATCATCTCTGTTGGCCAGGTTGGCAGGTGTCCGCTGCTCAGGCGACATTTACTGTACTGAATAATGCCTGAAGAGCAACAGTCATGGGGCTAGGGATGTGTCTCAAGCAGTAGATTGCTTTCCTAGCATGTACGAAGTCCTGGGTTTTACCCTTAGTACTGAATAAACGGGCAAAGTGGTACATGCCTGTAATCCCAGCATCCAGGATTGGAAGGTAAGAAGGTCAGAGGGTCAAAGTCATGCTCATCTACACAGAAAGACCAAGGCCAGTCCAAGCTGCATGAGACCCTGTTTAAACACAAAACAAAAGGTGCTATAGTAGTGATTCTGGTAATTTTCTGAGAACATACTGGTATAATTATATTTTATCATAGCTATAGCTAATCTCTCTCTTCCTGAGGCTTGTTTGTAGGTGAAACCTCATCATAGGTGGGGAGGCGGGGTCTAGGGTGTCTGTAGACTTCAGTGCTATCCATAGTTTCAGGCATTTCCTGGGGTCAGGAAACACATACCCTATGGATAAAGGGGGTTCTGTAATATAATAAATAATACCGACTTCTAGAATCTTTGTCTTATAAAATCACAGTCCCTAACGCTGTCTCTCTTAGCCACTGGTCATGTAGGATAGATACCATAGTGCTTCTGTACAGATAGAGAAACCCGGGCCTATCCCAGGTGGCCTCGAACTCCTGAACCCCTGCCACTCTGGCTCCCAGACCTCTTGAGGACTCTCAGTGGGCAGCTCTGGGAGGCCTCATCAGTGTTCATCTGAGCATCAAACCCTCCTTTCCCACAGTGTCACTGGCCTCCAGCACGGTAGGGCCAGGCGGGCAGATTGTTCATACGGAGACCACGGAAGTTGTGCTCTGTGGAGACCCCCTCAGTGGCTTTGGCCTCCAGCTCCAGGGAGGCATCTTTGCCACCGAGACCCTGTCCTCTCCACCATTGGTGCGCTTTATTGAACCTGACAGCCCCGCTGAGAGGTGAGCCTGCTGCCTCTATGGGCCTGCAATTTGGAGTGCTCAAGCCAAATGGGGAACTGAGTCACAACTATGGGCCCCAGCTTCACCAATATACCTTTCTTAATCACTATATTGTCCCCACTACTAGCCCCATTTTCCAGTTAAGGAAGGGGAAGCTCAGAGAGGTGGGTACACTTGCCTAGGGTCACACAGTACCTAAGCCCTGTCTGCCTGTTTGCCTCTGAGACTGTGTATATCTTGTAAGGACAATGGAACCATCCCCAGTGGACAGATAGAGAAACTGAGGCCCAGCAAGCTTAAGGCGTTAGCTGGGGAGCTGAGCCAAAGAGACCAGAAGCTGAGAGTGGGCCCCCACCTTGCACCACAGCTGGGGTTCAAGTCATTGGCTTCTTCTTCCCACTGGGCTCTGGGGGTTAGGTGTGGTCTGCTGCAGGTGGGGGACCGTGTCCTAGCCATCAATGGCATTGCCACTGAGGATGGAACTATGGAAGAGGCCAACCAACTGCTGCGGGATGCAGCTCTGGCCCGCAAAGTTGTTTTGGAGATCGAGTTTGATGTGGCAGGAGAGTAGGCCACCCAGCTACATACATACACACCCTGGGACCCTGCCCCTCCCCCCTTTATGCTCCCTGAGACTGTGCACAGTAAATGCCTAAGCCCTGCATAGGGAGGCGGGAGCCCCACACAAGAGTCAGGAGGGTGTAGTGAACTGCATACAGCAGGGACATAGAGTTGGGTTGAAGGTCTCCAGGCAGCTTAAGTCAGGGCATTGGTCCTGGGAGTTCTACACTATGTGGACAGGATACTGCCTCCCTCTGCCCTCTGTTTCCCCTTCTGTCAAATAGCAGAAGACAGGGGTGTGGTATGAATTAGTGACAAGTTGTGAAAATGCCTGGATCCAGAGGGCTAAGTTTTGTTACAGACCCCACACTTACTAGCAGGCCCCATCTCTGGCCTCTGCCCTGTCTCCATTCTGAAGACAGCACTCAGCTGCTTGAAGCCAAGCTGTCAGCTCTCTAGGCCTCAGCTTCCTCCTTCATCAGGTGGAGGCAGCAGGGTGGGGCTGGAATGGTCACTTTCTGAGATTGCCCTCCTCCCAACCCATGAGAAGCCAGAGTGGGTGCAAGATACAGATCTCTGAGCTCTTTTGGAGTCTCTCGTCACCCTTGGCTGTTGGTTCACAGAGTCTGTCATCCCAAGCAGTGGGACCTTCCATGTGAAGTTACCCAAGAGGCGTGGCGTGGAGCTGGGCATTACCATCAGCTGTGAGTTCTCTCATCGCCTTACTGTTTTACCCACCACATCTCCACTATGGGCCGCAGCCCCATTTTACAGAAGGGAAACTGAGGCACATAGAGATGAGCTGATTTGCTTACAGCCACCCAGCCAGGAAGCAATGGGACCAGGAGTCCACAGAATCCTCTCCCAACCCTACCTTAAACAGAGGTCCTTCAAGACTCAATTCACAGTCTGTCTCCCCTGCTCCACAGCGGCCAGCAGAAAGCGAGGGGAACCTCTGATCATCTCCGACATCAAGAAAGGCAGCGTGGCGCACAGGTGGGGCACCACACAGGCAGGGGGGGTATAGCCATGGGGGTGGGGCAGTGCCCATCTGCACCAGGCTCCTCCCATCCGCACCCCACTCATGCAGGACTGGCACCCTCGAGCCAGGCGACAAGCTGCTGGCCATTGACAATATCCGCCTGGACCACTGTCCCATGGAGGACGCTGTGCAGATCCTACGCCAGTGCGAGGATGTGGTCAAGCTGAAGATCCGGAAAGATGAGGACAACTCAGGTATGTGCCTAGGAGACCATGTCTGATGGTCACCTGCTCGGGAGGGCTGGGAAGGCTTGTGCAGGGATCCCTGCTACCCACATTCCCCTGCTCCAGGGCCCTCAGGAGCCACTGCAAAACTCCCCAGAGTGTGAGATATTGACAGGACTGATGTACAGGGCTGATATCTGAGTGGCTTACGGGTTGCAGGGTTGGCCCTGGCGTAACAGAGGCAGGCCTGAACTGGTGGATGGGGAAAAAAAGGAGGAAAGAGGCAGGAGAGGCA